CAGATTTTAAACCGATGTCTTATTTCATTTAACAATATTGCATATAGCATCATTTCCCCCCTGACGGTGAGTTTTTGAACTTTTTTGTCCTCCACGGAAAATAAATTCCCATAACCTCCTTTACACGATTACCAAGTCTGATAACATTTGGTCAGGTAGTTTTCATTTTATGACAAGTAGTTTATTATTTTCAAAGTGGAACTTTAATTATAACCACCATGTAAATTAAACTTTAATAGTTTGACAGTTTGGTTCAAGTCCCAGCTTTAAAAATATGTATATAAATTTTTATATTAATCCTCTTAGGAAGAATATTTTAAGAAGCTAATTTTTCTCTCGCGTTATAGATAGTATTAAAAAAAACATGATCTTTAATATGATTTAGATTGTTTCAGCCGATATGAGAATCTGGTTACTCGGTGGTACAGAATAAACACTGCCGGACTGTTTTATTTCTTTGTCATTTAGCAAAAAATCTTTAATTCAAATATGTATCCTTTGGACTTTACTTTAAAACTTTATTTATAGTTAAAATGTCTAGAAAATGAAAAGCTTTCTTCAACTGAAATGCAGTTGATGTAATTGATATTTTAAAATAATTGACAAGAATGCAAAATTTATGGAAGTGTAACAGTCAAAAAAACTTAATTTTTTTTGTGGTGAGCACTGAAAATAAATGTAGAAGGAAGAAATGTTGGGAGAAAAGGAAGTAAAAATCTGAAGAGGATTTTGGCTATCAGAAATACCAAGGTGTTTTGAAAAGTTGGATGCTTTTGAATATACTTTCAGAATACTTCAAGGAATTTGGGTGTTCAAAGACAAAACATTTGAGTGTACACTAGCAAATACCATCAATTGAGCTTGTGCTACGGATAAGACATAAACGATATCATTGCAGATTAAGTGAAGAGCGATTGGTCTTGGACTGTATGTTTGTAGAAATTTAAATTACGTTATAGAACATCATATCATCATAAACGGAGAATCCCACGATTTCTTAGTCGAATTATTTGAATATTCGTGAATTTATCCAGTGATTTATGTGGATGTCACCTAAAGACGTTTTCCCTCTTGATGAAACCAGTCTTTCCTTTCATTTCATGCCTTAAAATGCTTAGCCTCTAAAGACTGATAAAGGCTCAGACCAAGTACTGATGAAATGGATTGAATTGTATTATTAAGTTATGGCAAAGCAGGACTATCTGCCCTAAAAGGCCTTCGTGAAGAACTTTCTAAGAAAAACCAGCTGGCATACACGTTACAATGAGAAAAACAGCGAAAACGTCCATGCAACCAGCCAGTTTTCAAACCCCGGAGCGAACTACCAGTGTTCAGCGACTTTACTGCTCGGCCATTGCTGGATTTATGGAATAGAAGGCGATGTCAGAAATGCCAAGATGTTTCGAAAACTTGGATGCTTTTTAATATAGTTGCAGAATGCCTGAAGAAAAAGAATAAGCCATTAAGAATAAAAAGAATAAATTTTTGCATAAAATTTAGTTTTTTAATTTAAAACTTTTTAATCTTATATTTGATTCTTGCGATTTCAGAAATAAAATATTTGACTAAAATATGAATAACATTTTAAGAAACTAAATGTAGGATGATAAAATTGTGTAACGCAGTGAGCACAATGTTAAAGCTATTTAAAGCAATATATGCAGGTCATCCTTAGTTAACCTTTTCCCGTGGGCTATAGGGGCCAATTTCGAACATATTATGGCCATTTAGTCATTTATTTTAAATGAAAGGAACAGAAAAACAAATCAACAGGATCTTGCTCTTCCTAATCCATATTAAGGAGTAAATTTTAAATCTCCATAGTTTACTGAAATTTCTTAAGACACATTTAAAGTAGTGAAAGTGCGGGACATATATGTCTCAGCCCCCGGAAAAAGGTTAAAATGTCAGTAATACATCTCTCTTAGTTATATATATCTTTTCTGAACGGAACATTGAAAGGTGTACTTTACTGTATTTTCTCTTTAATATATTCACAATTAACACAAACAATTAAAATAAAAGCCTAAAAATTTAAAAGTTACCTAAAATAATAACTGTGACAAAAAAAAATTATAAAGAAAACTATTTGAAAAAAAAATAAACGATGCACCTTATACTTAAACTACACAGTTCGAATTGGTAAATAGAAAATTTTAAAACAGTTATTCGAAAGAAACCATGCAACTTGAACCATTAAAATGAAATTCGAAAAAGAAAAAATAAATAAATAAATAAATAAAAATATAAAAAATAACAACATAAAAATATAATATAAAGAATATTATTTGAAAGAAAGAACGTTGTGATTTTTTTTTCCCTCTCACCGAAAAGGAAAATAGGTTGCCACATATTAAGAAGTTCGCCAAGTGAACTAATCTTGGCGCAAACTGAAAAAAAAAAAAAAAGCGCCAACATAAATTTGTGAATTTCTCCGCAAATTTTACAAAATTTCATATTTTGGCATAATTTGAGTCGTAGAATCGAAATATGGAAAAAAAAAATATGTTATTTCAGAAAAAGTCCGATTTTGTGTCAAAATAACTATGTTATAATAGAGCTATATATAAATCTAATGTATATTCTAAGTCACACTTTCGAGACATGAAGAACGCAATTTGAATTTCGTCAATCAGCCCAGTAGAACAGGAGGTATAGAACAGTCCCTTCCCCCCCCCACTGTACAACTGTATCGGTACAATGATTAAAAACATATCAGATTATTTTGCCCCTCATGGGACATCATCCTGAAACCATTTTTTAAGATTAGCTCAATACCTGTCTGGTATATCTCCATTCTCTTCCAACTTCCGTCAAGAAAAAAATCCGACATCTTTTGCCACCAAACACCACCATTCCCTGAATGGTTAAAATCACTGAATACATTTAGTCATACCCAGGGAAAAAGGCTTGCTTTTCTTTGTGTATTGTGTCAATATGAGTCTGTTTTCCTAAGAAATCATTCCTTCTCTTAAGCTGGTAACTCTTGCATCAAGTACACAGATGAGATAAAAGTATACAAGGTCTGGAACAACAACTGAGATACACTTAGCAAAATCTATTGTGGAATGTCATTGGAATTTATTATTTTTTAACATCACCATATAGGAGTATACATAAAGGCAAGCGGTTTCACAACTTATTAAGATGCAGCTGCTAGCTATTAAATTCTTTGAGGTCCTGGAAAGCATCATTTCATATAAATACTAAACATGCATTAAAAATACACTTCCTTTGAGGTGCAGTACCCTTTTTTCTTTACAAAAGAATGTACTTATTTAAAGCTATAAGTTGTTAATTTAATAAGTATATTAATTAAAAATATTTTCCTAATATGAAGAGAACACTTGAAAGACTCAACATACTGAATTAGCATGTGCACAAAAGTTAATAACTAAATAAATAAAATCTATTAATTGTTGCCATCTATAAAGTTAAAAATTTAGTAACAAATGGAAATTAAACATATTATTGAAGGCTCAGGTGCGAAGCATATGGAGTACAGGCAAAAGCCTCATCCTGTATATAACGCATGGCGAAATGACATTACTTTCCCACTGAGTTCTTTAGGGGGAGGAGTAATTTTACCTTTTAGTTTCTCGCTGTAGGTAGCTTGGCTGGGATTTTTCTGCGCTGGAATTCTGGCAGTCTTGGAGCTAGGGAAGTTTTCTTCAGTGAATTCTGGAGCATTAGGCTGGGGAGGGTTGTTTTTCTTTTCGAATCTTTTCTTATACTCACTGCAGCCTCTATAGCTCCTGACGTGGCAGAGTCCGCAGAAAATACATTTAGGCTTGTCTTCTGGCTTCATGTTGCATTGGTTACTTCCATGATATTGCCCGCACTTTACACGTATTATTGAAAAGATTTGATGGAAGTACAATATTAAGCTGGTCAAGACAGTTTGATCTGTTCATACACACAGCTTTACTTTATCCTTCCTTCATTTTGTATTTGACAAAGGCATTTCAAGTTAAATGAAAGCATTTAATATTATACCTAAGTCTAGGGTACGTCCTTTATCAATCTAAATCATGCTCATTATATTTTTGAGCAAGCATTATCTTTTGAATTAAAAAAATGGGCATAATAATTAGTGTGGTGTTACAATAAATCAGTCTGTGAAGGTTTCTTTAGAAGTACAAGTTTCTTCACATTGCGACTTCAAACAGCAATGCAAAATCTGCAATCAGTTGGCTGTCTGTCTAGACAAAACTGACTTGTATCCATGCTCACTTATCCTTACCTCTGTCTGGATTAAATTCTGAAGATGACTCAACATTTGCACCAGCAAATGTGAACTCATGTTAGAAGATGAATGCCACATTTGTGTACTTCTATGCAAAACACATCTGCCAATAATTAGCATTTCTTTTCTTCTATGATGTGTTTATTATTTCTTGATTTTTTAGAATATGAACTGTTTACTTCATTTTATTATTTTACCCCCCCCCTTTTTTTTTTTTTGCTTCCTGATAATAAAATTTAATAAAAGTCAAAGTACTGTGATGTAGGCTTCCCATCTGGGACAGCTATTATTCTTTGTTTTATATTTCTTTGCTTTGCCTTTCAAAAAATGTTTTGCCTGCAGTAACAATGTTAGGTATCAGAATAAAAGTAGGGATTGAAAAACAAATCTACATTTTTTGTTGCAGAAAGATGCATTTTTAATGCAACAAATAGCAAAAATATAACAGCAAAGCACACTCCATGCAAGTATTTAAAATGGTCAAGGAAATTATGCTAAAATATAGTTAACAACTTACTGTTTTCTGCATTTTTCAAAAGGTAAACATTATAACTATATAATGTAGCAAATACTACATAATGTAGTATTTGCTACATTATACAGTTAATGCACATTGATTTTTCATGTCACTAGCTAAGTTATAATAGTATTCAAATACGTAAAACAATTTTGGAAAGTGTTCCTTTTCTAAAATGCTACTTTTTAATTTGGTATAAATGGTGTTGAATGGAAAGAAAAAAAATGACACAGAATCTTTTAGTTAAAATGTTAATATTAAAGTGCAATTGAGAAAAATCACACAATCACTCACAAGCACAGAGAACAAAGATATTTTTCCAGACCTTAACATTTCAATATGAATACAACATCAAAATTCTCATTTGTTAATAATCATGTTAGAGGCAACTGTAGTAGAATTTGAAATGGTATAGTTTTAATTTATACTTGAATTTAACTAAAATAACAAAAGCATCATTTCACTTTAAAAAGCTTGCAAATACCTCATACATATATTTTAGTTACTTCAGCAACAGAGGTAATAATTTTATTGAGAAACATGCATTTATGATTTTCCACATGTGAGTTAAACATTCATTTCAGATTTTCACAGAATAGTAAGTTAAAAATACACAAGCTCGTAATTTTTATCAAAGTACTGTTAAGACTAAGGCACATTTACTTTACATGAAACTTACCAAATATTCAATTAAGAATAAATACAGGTTTTATAAATGAAACAATGTGACTTATGTAATGAAAAAAATTTCAATATATTTTAAATGTATGTGTGTGCGTGCATGTATATGTTGAAAAATATTCTAAGATTTCAAAAGTATACATATATATAGACACACTGGTGAACAATTGCTAAGGATAGATCATAAATGACCACGTAGCACATAAAAAAGTATGTGCATTTGCTTGCCAAGTGAAATAAAATACTAAAATGCTAGGACATAACAAAGATAATTTATTGTGCTCTGAAATTTCGAAGGCTTTGAAAAATATTCAAGGAATAAAATGGTCATTTTGTGCTGAATATATGAAAGTGAAAAAAATTCAATTAGCATACACAGGCATTCTGTCAATATGGGATATGGTAATAGAGGGTGATGCAAAATTCGTGCCATGCTTTGTACAACATTATTTAGCAGTTGTCGGGGTAATTTATCCCCCTCTTCTGTCAGTGCACAGATGAGGATGTCTTTGTTTATAGGATGGCACTGGCAACCAGCAACTCTTCTCTAAAGTATCTCAAACATTTTCAGTGGTATTCAGATCTACAGAACATGTTGGCCATAATAATATCCTCACTCTCTAGATGCACCTAGACAGTGACTGTTTAATGACATGTAGCGTTGTCATCCATGAAAGCAAATTTATTCTCGACAGCACCATGGAACATGCAAACATGAGCCAGCAGAATATCATTAATGTATCATTAGCCAATCATAGTCCCAGTTGGAAGCACACAGATTGACATTCAGCTGTTGATCATGATCCCAGCTCATACCATGACACATGTAGAATATCAGTCCCTTTCCTGTATGCTTCCTGGAATAAATGCAGTACCACACTCACACACATCAGTTATTGTCCACAATCAGCTGAGAGACTGAACCTACTTTCATCCGAGAACAGTACACAAGCCCAGTTGTTTTCTCTCCAAGTGCGTATTTAAGTGCGATGCTGACGACACCATTGCAAACAGGCAGAACAATGATATCTAGACAATGGAATGCACAAAATAGGACTGTGGGCATATAGTCCTCCTTGATGTAAACATCTGGCTACAGTTTTTCAAGAGATTTGGTTGCCAGTAGAAGCAAGTAACTGATATGCTACCTTAGTAGCTGTGCTCGGCTGGTTCCTTTTTGTCTATTGCACTATGTACCTATCTTCTACAGGCATGTGTTATATATTGCCCTTCTTCAATCTTGCCAATAATGTGGCTACATGTAAAATGATCTAAGTGATGTCAAGAAGACATACAGAAAACTGCCAAGTTCATCAAATGATACTTTCCTGTTACATTCTGCTTTTAAACAACAGTAAATACACATCAAATCTTTTATATCTCTTATCAGTGCTATCACATAATGAACAACTTCTGCGATCTAAAGTTTGCATAGGTACAAAAAGTCTTACTGCATCCCGCACATATGCTAATTTCCACATTTTCCTGTCTTCCATTTTATGGTTGCTATTGCTGCTAGTGCCCATCCATCCTCAGCAATTGTACATCAGTGTATATATTGGACAAGTTTCTGAGGTGCTTACATATTAACCTTATTAAAAGTTATCAAATCTTTATAATGTACCAAAGTCTGGCAACCATGTTCATAACAAACCTTCAGTGGACAAGTTTCTGAGGTGCTTACATATTAACACAACCTTATTAAAAGTAACAAAATCTTCATAATGTACCAAAGTCTGACAACCATGTTCATAACAATCCTTCTGTCAAACAATGCTGCCACTTTTGTAAGTGTTCTTTTTTGTTATATTACATATTCCAATGATTTGTATAAACAAATCATGATATTTTTTGCCTTAGTTTTAAAATATGAGCTTGTAGAATTCGCCAGTAATGGAAAAAATCTCTGTAAGAATACAGAATTTTGCTGAAAATTTTCTAAAGGGAATAATGAGGAAATGCATTTCCTCTATAGCCACTGCTACAGAGTCTCCGCAATTCTATAATTTTTTTAAGCAAAAAGACATCACTGTGTACTTCAGGAGAAGAATAGCACAACAAAATTACAGAAAGATTTGAAGAATATGTTTTATTTCTTTAATGTATCGCATTTAATAATTTAAAGTCATACATTGAAATGCTAACGTATGTTTTCTTTTCATACGTTGATAATGTTTACCGACTTATATAGTTACCGATAAATATTGATAGTTTGGAAATCTTTCTAAAAAAAGAGTGGGAAGCAAGAAAACCACCAACTTGCATCCGGTAAGTAACTTTTAATATTTCATCTGTAAAAAACGCCAAATTGCACCAAGGTGGTTGGGTTAATACGTAAATACCATTTCTGATTTAATTTGTTTAGTAACAACTGAAATTTTAAGCGAATAACTTAAAAGTAATTACAATATATATATATAGCAATTCCACATAATCAGATGTCAAATAGATAGATTATATTTAGGAAATTACAACCTATTAACTTTATATATATATTACATAAGACAAAAATACTGGAGAAACAAACATCCCTTCCCCAAAAATATTAAAATTTTATAGCACCCTAAAATAAAGAATACTAATTAATTATAAAGGCACTCATTATTTTAATTCAGACAGTGGAAAAACTATGTAATTTTCATCTAAATAATCTGATAGTATGTCTAATAGACAATAAGTTTCAATTATTGTAACATTTTCATTTTTACCAATTCATTTTGGCATGCATGAAAATCAGTGTGCTTTAATAATATATCCAATTTAAGTAGTTATATACTGTTAAAAAGTACTCTCAATATATACTGAAAAAGAGAGGAAACCTGAGTAATTTACAAATATGTAAATATAAGAAAGGTAAAGGTGAATAATGTATAATAAAATTATTTAATAATAAATGAAAACATGTAAAATAGATTTAGCAAATTTTTCAAATAGAGAGGGGGAAAAAATCTATGTTGGCATTTTCAATGCAAAGCAAAATGAAATTTGCTTAGTACACAATGTAACAACACCTACAGTTAAAAATAAATTAGATGTTACAAAGAAGCGAGTCTGTGCAAAGCAATAGTTAATTTCTTAACTGGAATGCCAAATTCGTGCTGCAGTATTTTTTAATATAAAACAATATGAAAAATTCTTATAAACTTCACTCTAATAAATGGAATTTATACCTACATAAAACAGTAACAAATTATTGCAAGCATTATTATAAGAAGGAAATCATATTTATTTATTTCAACATTATATATAAAACTTCCCGAAATGCATCTTCAAACTAGCCATTTCGTGTAATTGAGCACATTTGGTTAGAAATTGGTTCATTTATATCCCATTATTCATTGATTATAATAAAGATACATTGCAAAACACATTTGTATGAAAATACATAAGAGAAATAGAAAATCCTAATATCTGCTAAACTACGTCACTGCAGTTATTTATGGGAAAGAAAAACAATCTTTTATTAGGCCTCTCCCCTCCCCCCCCAAAAAATGCACCTTTCAATGTTTCCAGTAACAAGTCATTTGAGCATTTATTAAACAGAAGCCAAAAATACATTCTTATGTCACATAAACATAAATCCAAAAAAGTAGAATATATACAATTTCGATTCAGTAAATTACACTTTTCAATGAACCCTTGCTTTTTTATAAAATACTGTACATGTAAAAGAAAATTCTGAAAATACACATGACTTGAATTAGCATCTAATTATTTAACTTTGTAACAATTTTATAGGTAATTAAGAACTTTTTTAATATATCATAAAATGTACAAGTCACATAAATGCATAATGTTCAATAAAGAAAAATGTAACAAACATATTAAAAAAAGATTAAAACTAAAATTGTATTTTTGGTAATTTACTGGTGCTTTATACAGACAATCTATTTAAAAATTAAACCTGATACGGTGGGAAGATGAATATTTTAAATTTCTCCTCATATCAAATACTTTATTCTAAAATTACACTTTTATACATGATTTTTTAGAAAAAATATTAAGTACAAAATTATTTTTAACTTTTAAAAACTCTCCTACTATATGCGCTGTGTATTAAAAGAAAATGTAAATGAAAACTTAAATGTGCAGCTCAATTAATATACAGCTGCTTACCTTGAAATGTTAAAAACTAGAAGTTTTCATGCTGCACGGCAACACCATTTCACAGGAACTCCAGACTGACTGTAATTCTCTCTATAATGCATGGTTCAGGTTACTGAACTATTTGTAATTCAACTGATGTATAATATATTAGCATCTAATTGGCTATTCTAAATTTTATGTTTTTTGGCTAACTTTATTTTTTAATGCTTTTATACCGAGAAAACCCTGAGCAGGAAAGAAAAACTTATTTGTCAAAGTGCTTTTAAATATGATTAAAATATAATTAATAATTAATGTACCTAGTATTTATGCAGCTAAACTTAATATATCATATATTGAAGTAAAGAAATATATCTATATAAACATTTGATTACACATTGCTTGAATTTTCATATAAAAAACCTAAAACTGTTTGCAGTAAATTAAGACACCTCAGATCAAATGGGATTTAATAAAATAAAAATCAATGAAATGTAATAAAAATACAATGCAGATGAAATAAATTTAATAACAAAATGTATTCTGAAAATCATTTGGAGTGAGGGAATCGAATTTGCCTAATTTAAGTTTCATTAATTCAATAAATTAAATATATTTTTGCAAAACTACCATTCTCACTAAAGGCTAAAAAATTAAAAACCAGGAGAGTTAGCAGCTATGGTAATGTATCACAAAATTAATTACTGTTGCAAAAATTTTCAAGACTATGGAAATTCTGATAACCTTTTATATACAGGAACTGTTAAAATACATTAAGTTTTATTTCCTTTTTTTCAATCAACCATTAGTTCGTAATATAGAATTTGCATTGATATAAATCATTAAAATAGCTTTTATTGCATGTTAGAAAATGCTAAAATTATAATTTTGTATTTGTTAAGCGAAATGATGAAACTAACTGTGGAAGACATGATGAAACTACAAATTATTCATATGAAGCAACAAAAACAGTGCATTTTATTTGCCCTATTTAAAAATCTCATAATAATAAAAACTGAATAAATACTTTGATCACTATCATTAAATATACATACAATAGGGTATTTGCTCTGCTTTCAAAATTTTTACAATTGATATATTTTTTAAAAATGTAATACTCACAGCCATAAATTAATGCATTTTGAGGGTAAGGGTGGAGGGGAAATGAGGAAATCATGTAATTATATGCAAAACTTGGCATAAAAAATTATGAATATTAAACATTTGCAGCAATCAAACTCTGTGACATAAGAAAGAAAAAGCATTAACTGTGCCATTCAAAACTGACTTTAGAGGTATTCAAAACTTTAGAGGTATGAACTGAATTTAAATAGAATAAAAAAATGTAATTTATTTAAGCATGGAACATTTAATAAAAAAATCAAATATGAATATTACTATCAGAGCAAATTCAAATCTGTTAAACTAGTTTTTATTTATGAGCACTCAGAGCTGATATATATTTAATTCTTTACTCTTAAAGCAATGCATTTAAAAGTTAATAATATAAATCAATTAAAAAATTTAAAGATTTAATAATATTTAACATTATTTTACACTCTCATTACCAAAGGAAATAACATAGGATACAAAACAAAGACAGTAACATTTTACATTATTCAATGTTATTATGTTATGCTCTTCCAGGGTAACCTCCCTGGGATGAAGGAAAACAATATCACACATAAATATTTTGTTCTAAGATGCTTTTAAAGCCCAACTCTTGTTATACAAATGCTAATGCTTTTGGCCTTTACTTTACAAATGACAAAGAATGCATTTTTAAATGCAAAGATAAGAAGTCAGAAAAAGATTTCCCATATAGTGTTTTAGTTTGAAATACAATGCATGGGAAAACATTTCAAATTATTAAAAATGTTATTAAATGCAACAGTTATGTCAATGTACGACATAAACACATTTTATACCTCACATAGCTGACACATTTACATCAGACACTAATTAAATCTAAGATCACATTCCCACAATTGCTTAGCAATCAGAAAAAATGTCAGAATAAATGTAGCTTTAATCATGCAGCACATATTTTCTTCAAATATTCAAAATTAAAACTGGATTCAGTCTAAAATTTTTAACAGAATTTTTACACCTACATAATAAATGTGGAATGTAATCTTAGATTTTAACTGTTTACAGATTAAACAAAAAAATCAAACAAGCCCATCTCTTGTTAATACAAATGTTCTGCCAAATTGCGAGGAAAAAGCATTACTATTTTTTTCACAACATGATTAGTCAACATCTAGGACAAAAGTTACTATTTTTAGGTTTGCTGAGATTACCACTCATAAGATATTTACAAAAGAGAAGTCCTAAACTGAAACATACATTTATGTATGATAAGGGACGACATACGTGGCCGGAAAGTATCCCCTTCTTGATCCAATTTCGCCTTCCCACCAATTCTGATCTGAACGATCCATTACTGTTATGATGTCCCCACGACGAAATTCCAATTCCCCAGCTTCTTGAGGTTGAAAATCATACATGGCTTGTACAAGAAACTAAAAGGAAAAATTATACAGTTTGAATTTATTAAAACATTATTTTAATTTTTTTATTTATTATAAATTTTATTATCTTTAGGTAATAACTTTTCATAAGTTTTTAGAGCACTTTACAACAACAACCAAAAGATTACAGTTTTCAAACTGTGCCATATATATATATGTAAGATATAGTAAAATACGATGGCTATGCTAAAGTGATTGGCAATCTCAAAATTAACTGTTCTAGATTTTATGTTCTCCTCCTAAACTCATCTGTTCCTCCAAATTTGAGATCTTTCTATGTTACATAACACTGCCTGTCAAAGGGAACTAAAACCTAAATATAACCAATCGCAGCTTAGCTGTACATATGCACCTAAGTAGTATAAATACAGCATTGCAAGAAATTATGTCTCTTCTTAACTTCTGCCATGAAAACGCTGCACTGTTATGCTCTATTTTTCTTCACCTTAAAACCTGTGTACATAAAAATAAGCGTATTTAACCAAGATTTGATAAATATCTTGTCTACCAAAATGATCTGATGTGAATTATCATAGAATAAAATTATGTTTCAAAACGGCCATGTGTGGAAATAAGTTATGCATCCATCTTTCCTACTACGCATTAAAACATCACATATATACACCGTGTTTCAAAAAGAATATACATATTACAAAGTGTTATTTTGTCCAAACTATCGATCACTGTACCTCGACTCGGGTATTGGAGAAACGAATACATAGTCTAGTTTATATTAATAGCCGGTAGATGTCAGTTGTCTTTTCTGTTTTGCATGGTAACCATCACATGTTGAAAATGGCTACTCCGCAGCAGAAATCATTTTTGTGTTCTCGAGTTTGTGAAGTGTAATTTTGTGATTACAGTGCAAAGACATTTCAAGTTGATGTATACAGTGATCATCCGAAAGGTGGAACATTCGCAGATGATATCGACTGTTTGTAAATACAGGATGTGTATGCAAAGGAAAGAGTTCTGGCTGCCCTTGCGTTTCCGATGAAAATGTTGCATGAATCCAAACTGCTTTCCAACGTAGTCCTTTAAAATCGACTCATCGTGCCAGTCGGGAGTTACAACTGCCTACAACAACTATTTGGTGTGTTCTGAGATGTTGGTGGGTTATGAAGCTGTACAAGTTACATTTGTTACAGGCTCTGTGTCCTGACAAACGCAAACATGTGGCATTTTGTAATGAGACAGTTGATGCTATAGACAATGATAACACTTTCGCACAACACATTGTGCTCAGTGATGAAGCAACTTTTCATGTTAGTGGTCATGTTAACAAACACAGTGTTCGAATTTGGGGTCTACAGAACCCACATGCAGCCACTGAACATATACGAGATTCGCCCAAAATCAATGTGTTTTGTGCGATATCTCGATCATCTGTTTATGGCCCATTCCTTGATGGAAACACGGTTAACGGTCAGCAGTATCACGCTTATGTTACAAAACTGGTTGTTTCCGAGGCTGCACAAAGAAAACTTCATTTTTCAACAAGACGGGGCACCCCCTTACTGGTGTCGCCAAGGGCGTGATTATCTGAATGAAACTCTACTGAACCGTTGGATTGGTCGTCAAGGATCTGGCGACTTAGCATGTCTCAGCTGACCTCACCAGATTTGACACCCTGTGACTTCTTCCTGTGGGGGTTTCATTAAAGACAACGTTTATGTACCATCACTCCCACAGAAACTGGAGGAGGTGAAGAACCAGATCCGTACTGTCATAACACCAGTGACGACAGACGGGCTTGCCCGAGTTTTTGAGGAATTTGAGTATCGATGTGATATTGTTCGTGTCGCTGATGGAGGACATACTGAACATCCGTAATCCGAACTTGAGAAATTTGTACATATGTATGTAACGTTTCATATGTCATACAGTTTAATAAATACATGCATTCGAAATACATATATTCTTTTTGAAACACGCTGTACTTTCCTTTCATCACCGCATGCTTATGACAACTTGAGTAATGACTCATGTAGCGATGCCTAAACAATTTATGTTCGGAATTGAAAAATAAAGAGGTATGATAGCTTTTTATGTTGACATTAAGCTTCGCGATGATTACAAATTTATGTTAAATGCGCTAAAAATGTAGACGAGGAACAATTTAACAAAACTTTCTTTCCATATGCTAAAAATAGATTTTGTTGACCATACCCATAGACCCAAAGATTACATTTAGGGCTATTTGAATTAAGAATAACCGATTTGTTATTTATATAAACCCAGAACCAGCACCAGGGCACGTATGGCCGCACGGGGGTCGCAGAATTTAGGAGCCACAGAGACTGCATCAAGATATCTAGCGCCGGCCCTCAATAAGGTTTAAGTATATGTGGGAACTTATTTATTCAGAACTCTGATAAGCCTTAAGCATGAGCAAGAAATGGACATAAGTATAATAAATAGCTAAACTAATAAAGTTTAGGCTTATTTGTCTCAGTGCACCAAAGAAGCAAGATAAAATTTAATTTGTTAGTCACCAAGATCATGATGCACAGCCTAATGTGTATAGTGAAGGATAGCTAAATTTGATGATGATAGCCACTAATTTTAAAGGATTTGGATATCGTAAAACAAAGATGAAATTTTCCAATTAACGGATTTTGTAAAGAAATGTGTAGAAGCAGTAATAAATGAAAATGATATAAAAGAAGTTTTTCATTGTGATAACAATGCTTCTCAATCATTAATCAATTAATGAATGGCAAAATCTGTAGTATGGTTCTACATCCAGAAAATACCGATAACGAAGAAAGTGATAGAGAAGTTACTGAGAACAAGAAAATTTCGATTGACAAGTTAGTCGGAAATCTCAAAACAGCAGTTACACGACTTCAACAATGTAACTAAACAAGAGATTATGTCTGTCTACAGAATTAAAGAGAAAGTATTAGCACAAAAAACGAAACAACTTACATTGAAAGAAACGTTTAATAAGGTAAACAAATAAATATTAAGCTTTTTTTTGAAAATTTTGATACTCTTTATATCATAAATGCTTCATTATTTCATATTTTTAATTTTACAATTTCTACATGCCATCTTACTAGATTTAAACTGATGATTTAATATCCGGAAAAAACCCAAATCCGGAAGAACCGAAGTCCCGTCGAGTCCGGATTTCGGACTTTGTACGTACTGTATTAAGACCTAGCCAGTTAAATTTTAACATGACAGCACCCCCCCCCAAAAAAAAATTGTCCAAAATGCAAGTCAAAACTGCTCGCTGATGGGGGAAAACAATTAACCAGCAATAATTTTAGTTATACGTTTTAGCCTAGCATTTACTAAAACCTTACAATTCTTTTTTAAAAAAATATAATACATAGCATTGGCATACACACACAAGGGGGCGAAGAGAGAGGAAAGATGGAGGGGGGAAAGCCTACGTAACATAAATAAGCAAAATGTTTTAAGATACATTCAATAAAACACTGTACAGCAAAATAGGGTTAATACTCCATACTATTACATACATATAACAACATTATCTACCTTCGCAATGAATTATATTGATCTATGTATGCCAATATAATATACGAAAATTGTGAACTACAGTTTATTGTTATTAGAAGAGTTTTAATGAAAAACTCCATTCTAAATGCCAGTGTAACTGAACATTTACAAAAATAATGACCAATATCTGTCCTGGCTTTTAGTTTTTGACATTTACATTGTACAATCACTTTAAAGAAACAAATAACATTGTGCAAATTTACTATGTCCTGTAATAACCTCAGGCAAATAAAAAGACAACAAAGCCTCATAACACATGCAAGTTTCAAGATCTTGATTATAACCATAACTTGTGTTAACACATTACACACTTTCCTTCCCCTACCTCCATTATTCTATTTTTCTTTGAATTCTTTCCTAACCAGACTTTTGACTGGCCGATCCATTTGGTGAATATTCTTGCTTTCCAGATAGCCATCAACCAGGTGGGCCCTATGTGGTCATGCATTGTCTTCCATAAAAAAAAAAAACCTCAGGACCAACAGCACCCCTGAAAGTCCCACAGAGGGATGCAAGATCTCCTGCCTGTACCTCTGGGCATTCACAGAAGAAATGCCAAACATATGAAGCAATGTGCTGATGCCTTGCATAATCCCTTTCCTGACCATCATATTAGTCTCTTTCTATGATGTTGCTGGAATGGTACCAAGTCCCTGGTTCCATCCATACCAATAATCGCCAAGAATCAGGTTGTAGATTGAAAAAAAAAATTACCTGGAACTCCATCCATGAACTCTTTATCATACCATAACGTTACGGTCAAAGGATTTTTCTTTACAGATTTTAAATAATTTTTACAACAATAGATCTAGATAACTTTGGATACTGACTTAGAGAGCTACTTAAAAATACTTACATTTTTTTCTAATAATTCATAACTTTAATTAATTTCTTCCCCTTGGAGATGATATATAAATGCTTTTCCTAATAATAAATTACTGATTTATTACTTAGCAACTTTAGTACAAACTTTAGGCATTTTAAATTACTCCTAATTATTTTTACTTACATTTATATGTAATAAAATTCAGAAGCAGGAATTTTGATGACGTAGAAATGTTGATCCATTGGAAATTGGATGGAAATGCAGATTAAATCTTCAGTTTTATTTTCAGCAACATGTTACTGCTATGTGCAAGTCGTGCCTGTTCCAAAAGGCTTACTTTTTTATTACTTTGTAGCAAGAAAGCAGCAGTATAGCTAGGCCAAAGCATGGAAAGAAAGTGCGTAATGTTCAGGATGAAATCTGAAGGCAAACTGAGTTAGTTTTGGTTCTCAAAGCATTTTGATTGAAAAAGTTAATATTGCTGTAAAATTAATATTGGCTGCTTGAGTTTTAGTTCATTTTACATCACCAGAATTACGTAAGAGTCATATGACATAGATTTTTCTCGAAATGACGCAGTGCAAATAGAGGCTGCTATTTTTAGAATAAAGAAGGGAAATTAATTTACGCTGCT